GCTCCACAAGATAACAAACCCTAGAAGAGACAGGCATCAGATTAATTCATTGGTGCCCATTTATTTTGAACATATGAATGCTGACCAAAACAATTCAGTAATGAGAAAAAGTTCTACTGTGCAAAGACAGCACTTATATCCATGATTTAGGGCACTAAGGTCTACTCAAACTCACTCCAAATAGCAGAAATCACCAAAAAGAATTACAGAAATGTAAAAAGTTTGCTTAGGGAAAAAGACACAAAACCTGTACCATGTAAACTGAAATCCTGTTTCTTCAGTCATAGGCAAAGTGCTATCAAATACATACACCTTGCATGGTTTACCTTCAATGTCAGCATTTTGGAACTGGACAAGGGGGAAATTTTCACCTCTAAACAGGCCTCCAAAAAACCTACTCATTCTTTTTTGTTCATGTCTATACCTGATGGGGGTCACAACGACAACAGGGAACATAAGGAATTCTGCAGGGCTAAAATTAACCATTTTGTTTACAGCATGAACAAAAATGACTGTCTTTTAACAACATACTACAGCACAACAGGTTACCCAAGCTATAACCGAAGAGCAATTCTCTTTTCCTACAGTTCTCATTAATTTATAGTTCTTTTTTCTATATGTTCCCTAAATGCCACTGTACTGTCTCTGCCATACATATAGTGCCTAGACAGAATCTTGTGATTTGGTAATAGTTGTTCTACAAATTCCTATTTAAAACACAGAATTTTTCTTTAATCGTTTTACAGGTAAAAAAAATAAAATTGCTTTGCTTATTTGTTTGAATTTTTCTCACGTCAAATCTTGAAGCCATGCCATGCGGTTCTGTCACTTAACACAAACGGGAAAAATAATGCCAGAGAGAAAAGCAGAAATGCTCTATTTTTGTACCATTCCAGTGAGGAATAGGATACTGTTTGGAATGGCACAGATACCATTCAGAATATATTTTCATAATACAGAGCTGTCTACTCAGGCCAATAGCAACATAAATGCGCTTGATTTGTTTAATACAATGGTTCTTACTAGTTTATTTAGAGTTTAAATTAAACCCCAAACCCCCTAAATTTGCAATCAGCTACTAAAAATGTATTAATCTAAATGGCATCTATGTTGTCTATATTGAACAAAATTGTTATGGTATGTTTCATTCCTAAAGCACAGAGAAAACACTTTGATATTTCAGGTGGGTTCTTAGGAGGAGACAGACCCATATGCACAATACTAGCATTATATAGCAGCCTAGAAGTGGAAGAAATTACATTTCAATTACAAAAGCAAATAAAATATTTTCATATAATTTAAAATAGGACCCTCTAGACTTTTCCCAACGCGTTGTAATCCAATCCATCAGAACAATTAAAAACCACACACTGCTTAGCTACAGCCTTGGCTAAATCTTTTGTTGTTTCTGTTTGTCCAGTTCCTACAGGACCTTCAGGAGCACCTCCGAGATGCAGATGTAGCGCACCAAATAGGGTTTGAAAACAAAATAGAAGGAAAAAAAAAAGTTGTAACAATTTTATGCTATTTTTCTAGCTGCTCCAACTTCTCCCAGGAGCTCTCAAAACTTGTTTAATGCCTAAACTTCCCTCAGGTTGTACAGTTTGTGTGCTCCTGCTAACTGCAGTCCACAAATACATAGAGATGCTTTAAGTTTACTACAAGTTAAAAACAAAAACCCTGTCGCTTACTATCCATTTATCACTAACCACAGTGTTACAAAAGATTAAATTTATTAGAAATTTAAATCAAAATATTCATACAGGATGAATTCTAATCAATTACAACACTTCTAATTATGCCTATTAGAACATCAAAGATACAATCCTGGAGTCACCCAATTTGGGACTAAAATATCTCAACTAAGTAGATTCTTGCAAGCACAGAACATTTAGTAACAAGTGCTTTTACCTGTAGAACCTGTCTGTAAGTGGAGTAATAATCAGCCTAGGTGTATTGCCAAGATATTCATATCCATATCTCAGTCCAGCATTGATCATTCTTGTTTGAAGATGTCCTTCCTAAGAAAATAAGGCACTGACTTTATAGGTGAAATGATAACACAAAGAGAAAAGACAACACAGTATTCTTCAACTTTGTAGATGAGCACAACCCTTTTAAAACAATTGGTGCATTGCTCTGAGACAGCTTGTGGTTCAATTAAATAAAAATATCACCATTTCAGAGATAGTAAAGTATGAACACAAAACCATTTTTCCATTAACTTCTATCGAGAAAAAAACCCTACCAACCATATTGCTGAGTTAAAACGGCCTTGTTCAGCTACTTAGAAAGATGAAGGCCTTTCTCAAACAGAAGTAATTGTATCTCAGAATTGCAGGAAGGTTGAGGCTGGAAGGACTTTAGCCTATCATTCTAAGCCAACCTCTCTTCTCCGTCCCCTACAGCATACTAAGCAGGCTTGTATCCAGACAGCTTTTAAATATCTCCAGAGTAGGAGACTCAACAGTCTCTCTGGGTAACCTGTTCTAGAACTCAGTCAGCCTCACTATAAAGAGCATTTTCCCCGTGTTCAGTCAGAGCTGCCTGCGTTTCAGTTTCTGCCCATTTCCTCTCATCCTATTACTGAGCACACCATTGAGGACAGTCTGGCCCCATCCTCTTGTCATCCCCTTTTCAGATACTTATGTACATGGATCAGATCTCCCCGAGCCTTCTACAAGCTGAACAGGCCTAATTCCTTCAGCCATTCCTCTTATCAGAGATGCTCCAGTCCCATAAATATTTTATCAGTCCTTCACTAGACTTGCTCCAGGAGCTCCAATGACCAAAAGCTGAATTTACAGTCAACTTGATGACTCTAATATGGCAACACAACATATTTTAATTTTAGGTGCAATGTCTTCTGTAAATTGGGAAATGTTGTCTTGACAAATGCAAATATACTGTATGCTACCACCACGCAGTATAAACGTTGCTATTTTTCCAAGTAACACATAAAATAATATTGACATCAGATTAAAATCTTTAGTTGTCATCCTTAACCCATTTTTTACTCTTCAGAAACAACAATAATAAATAGTGTTAATAATAAAAATTAGTGTTTGAACAACAGCAATCTCTGCTGCCAATTCAGACAACATTCTGAGATTCAGCAGTGATGAGATTTTAATTAGAAACTGATTGTATTTGGCTACTGGACACTTTAGTTAGCAATCCACAGAATTATCAGTTAAAGGTATATTCTTATCAGCAGAAATTATCACATCAGAGTAACTATTCTCTGTGTCAGCAAGCAAGCAGAAATTGAAAAGCTATGAATGGAAATTACCTTCTAATAAGATTGAGAGGTCTCACTTACCTCCCAGTAGTATCTAAGCTGACTTAGCCATTCAAAGTCATTCTCATCTTTGATTTTCTTGCTTACTAGGGATGCAAGGACATCCCTAGCGTGAACATCAAGCACAACAAGTGCTCCAAGCGTCACACGATTCTGCTTAGACAGCTTTCCTCGCACCAAGGTGACAATGTCCTCTATCTGTCTATTATTCTGTTCCAGAAAATCCTCTAGTGCCTGGGAAAATTTTTACAAGTTAGGTAACTGCAGGTTTAGTCTAAGGCATGAGGATTTTTTTCCTTATATTACTCTTCTTTTTCTGTATCAAAACATTCCTTCTCACTATTTCAACAGTAAACTATCATTCACAGACATAGCTCAACAGGGCTTTATCTATTTGATTCAGTTTTTTTAATGTTACAGAACAATACATGGAAACATCAATGACACATCTCAGGAGACAAAACAGCATAACTTATTTCTTCCTGAAATACATGAATTACTCCTTAGCTTTTGGTAAATTTCACATTAAGAAAATGACATATATTTTAATGACTGGCCTATATGTGACACGTATTTTAAGGACTAGCTTGCATGTATACAATACGTTTTCTATGCTTAAGGAACATCACAATACTAGAAAAAACCTTTAAGCTGTACAGTAGTTAGGAACAATCCAGTTATAATCCTTTTCATTCTCATAGGTTGCAGTAAACAGGAAAGGTCCAATTTAAGGAAAGCACTTACATCAATACTGAGAAGTGATAAGTGCCTCACTAAACTGAAATTAAAAAGAAAGACATCGGAACCTGGAAACAGAGTTTGCCATTTAGACATCTGTATCTTCTGCACTCAAATGCATGCTCCTTCAGGAAGCTGCATTCACTGAAGGTCCACAGTAAGCTTGATTGCTCTGAATCCTTACAGAAAAGTCAGAAATTTCTGCTATTTGTCTAGAGAAAAACTTACCTACATCTGGTTTAGATTTTTCTCCACACTAGAACGTTGTTCATCTTCACATACTCTGGCAGCAGTAACCACCAATGAATTTTTCATATTTTGACATCTCTCACCCCAACTAACTATTTCCCAAACACTAAGCTTGATTAAATCATCCACTTAAAATTACTTATTTTTAATTTACGAATATAAAGAAGCAAAAAAAGTTCAAAATCGCTTCACTATTACGAGTTACTTCAGAAGTTCCAATCAGGCAGCATCCAAAACACACCACTCAAGTCAGGGGTAAAAACCCATTTGCTTACCACCAAGCTTTCCAAACTTTCACCAAGCAAACCTGTAAAAACCTAGATGCTAGTATGTTCTCATCTCCCATTTCAGTATCACTCTTTACTACTGCACTTCTGACTATATACTCCACTGAAAATAAAAGCATTCCACAAAATATTACTGTGTAAATTTATGAAAGTTTTTTTCTATCTTACATCTTACCTCACTATTTGTTTTAATAAAAAACTTGTACCTTTGTACAGTTATCTGTTGGAAACAACTAAAAAAAAAGCTAAAAGAATCCTGTGTATATGCCTGCGTGTGTATGCATGTGTATATGAGTAAATTTTTAATCATAAGAAGTGACTTAAATGAGACTGGTGTCCTGTCCCAGAAAACACTGAAGAGCTTCTGTTAAAAAAAGAAGTGTTTTGTCACCGTATGCACAGAGTGCCTTTGATGTCAGCAAAACATGATGCTGTAGGTAGGATACCGTTTATTTTGACCAGGATAAAGTTGTGTCACACAGAACGCCTCTCATGTGGTCAGTGACTGTTATGTTTCATTTGCTTTAATACAAAATAGAAATGGTACAGATAAAGAATTTTGAATGTTCTGAGACTGAAAGTGCTCGTTGTCCAAGAACTGTGACAGACCGTTAGGAGATGCAAACCTCCTCCCAGTCCTTCACTACATACAGGTCTCTTTCTGCAGCAAAATGAAGATTCTTGGGCTGGGGCCAGATGGGCAGAACTACCAGCACAAAAGAATTTGAATAAAGCCTACAGGAGTGACAGGTTTCCCTAAATATCCAGATATAGAAAAGACTTAACATAGGCTAGACAAGAGCCTTGTCTAGGCTCAGAATTCCGTTACAAACATTCCCCAAACCAAATGAATTTAATAATTCCTTAACTTCTTACCTTTATTCACTAACAACCTCATTAAGACGATGCTGGATTTGAAGTCTCTGGATTTTATGCTGGATTTAAAATCTCTAAGGTTAGAATTTCTGTTTCTCCTTCCTGAAAGACTTTCACCAAGAGAAGATAAATGGTGCAGTATGCAGAAGCTTTCCTTCTTTCCCGAGAGAACTGAGGATCTCCATTACTACTAGAAAAACAAATTCTTTTTAAATCTTTTTCAAATCTTCCAGTCCATTGCAAGACTTATTCCTTGTATTAGAAATACTGTTCTCTTCTTCCTTCAGTTCTGTCCACCCAGAAGCTTGTTTTTCCCCACATCTATCTGACAAATAAAGATTCTTGAAATGCCCACTACTATCAGAAGCCATTGCTTCCACTTGTGAATAAGCGGCGTTATATGGCCTTGAAACACTCCTTCATATATAGACTAAAGAGTAGGTTTAAGTTTGTGTTTGTGTTATAACTCAGCTATATATGAACAGCAAAAACCCCAAAACGCAAATACTGCAGATGTTTCTCCAGTTCATAGCATCACATTGGAAAAATTGGTAAGAGAAAGTATTATGAAGTGCCAAAGATACTGTTTTATGTAAATCATGATGCTCCTTTCTCTCCTAACATCAGAGAAGGAAAATCTAGTTGCCTCAGACGATAACACATAGCTAGTAACAAGTCTGGAACATTTCCAAATACAACAGGTAATAGCAATCCTTACTGATGAAACAGAGGAAAGATTTTGCAAAACACATCCTGAATTCAATGCCTTCGGTACCTTTCTTCTCACCACCTAACGAACAGATAACATGTTCTGTATCAACCATGCACTCATTGTTTCACAAGAGTGAAGACGGTACTTATACTCTGCTAGTGCTAGCCCATATTTATAACAAGTACTGAACATGTAGGAAGCTAAGCTCAGTTACAGACAGAGACTATCCATGCTAGTTAATAGTATCTGAATACACCAATGACCTCTTTTCACGGAAACATATAATATACATGTTAAGCTATACAGAATGTATTCTGATAGTGTGCTGAAGCATGCCTACATTCAAAAGAAAATATTAACTTCAAAGTCTTCAAGAATCACAGCTCAAGTGTACTTTCAAAGTAGGTATTAAAAGGATTAATTATTACACTGAGCAGCTACTCATTCAAAAAGATAACTAAAGGTTGGATTCACCACTGTGTTACATCAATTGCACAAAATTTAAATATACACTGAATATTCTTACCTTCTGGCCATTTCTAATAGGCTTCTCTACCTGCATCGTCCAGAAAGTTTGGGATACGCAAAGAACAGTTTGTCCAGGCCACTCTCGTACCCAGTCAACACATGGAGTTTTGGGATAAGCTTCAATTGCATTCTGAATGACCTACATAGGATAGAAGTACGTGGTAGCCACATATGAAAATAAGTAATGTTTAGCTTTAGAATTTAGGTTAGGTTGCAGTACTAAGAATCAAAAATAAACCAGCCTCAACTCTAACGCTATGACATTGACATCCTGCAAGAAAATCCCTCCAAGATTAAAAAAATGAGAATGTGATAACATGAACCAAGTGATCACAAAAAATTTCTGAGAACTAATTTCACAACACATTCAGGGCACTGAAAACATAAAATTTTCTACCTCCATCTATAATGAAACTAGAAAACAAGTGCAAATACAGCTTAGTTAGAACGAACAACCCAAACTGAAAAGTCTTTTTAAAATACAGTTATTCTGCTATAAATACAGAGCTTTGAATTTTGCAGTTCATATTATTTAAACTTATATCTAATTTCATGTACATTTTCTAGCAACAGAATGATAAATCTGGTTATTACACGACTTAAGGATAATCCCAATGAAATCAAAACTTAGGAAAATCTTTCAGTCCCTAACATTTTGTATTTTTTTCTTCCATTAACAAAATTAAGTAAGAGTAAGGCAAAAGCTTAAGAAAATTTAGATGTCTCCTCAGAAAATCAGTGTAACATGAGTTGGATGAAAACCTGCTGTACGTCCTGCACTTCCAGATCTCTTTACTTTCAACAATTTATACACAGAATAGCATGAATAACCCATTACGGAATTGACACCACAACTACATAAATATTATGTGTTTCAGATCATTACAAAAGTTTAGAAATCAAGAGTGAATGCAGACAAATGGTGCTTGGCCACTTCTTACTTACATGCACCAAGCAGGTAAATTTAGTCACTTCTATTTGCCGACACACCATTAGTATAATTAAACTGTAATACTGTACAACAGTGTCAGAAGCATGTACATTTGATTACCTCACTTGACATTGAAGAGAAACAAAGAAAATGACAGAGATAGCTAAATATATGACATGATGATGTGATCTTGTGGATACTCGAATAGCACAATCTGAAAAGAGTTCAGAATCTTGATTAAGGTAGTCAGAATTAAAAGGAGTATTAAAAAATAATTTAAAAAAGAATTAAAGGAGTATTAAAAAATAAGGGCATACTTTCATTTGAATCTTGTCCTTTAATACCACACCCCAAGAGTAGAACAATCTCTGACAAAAGAATCCTTGGGTCAAGTGTTTTTCATTTTTAAGAAATTTAGAGCATTATAAATCCGGAAAACTGGTATCAGATTAGTTGTTGTTGTTTGTTTTAAAAAAGATATAATCTTAATAGACTGAATTCATGGTTTTAATGCTCATGCTGTGCAAAGAATAAAAAATGATTCCAGTATACGTGAATGTTAACAGAAGAAATCAAGGCTAAATGACAAGAGCCTAAGGAATAACTAAATAACTTCATTTGGAAATGAGGTCCAGAAATATCGAAAGCAAATACGCCTAAATACATCAATACTTGGTACTACTTATAATCACTGATAAAGGACAAATCAAATTGCAGTTGAAGTGACATGTAATCAAGGTGGCTTTCTGCCTTCAGAAGATATTATGCTTAAATGCCTTAATTCAACAGACTACTTGATATTTGCTTAACTTCAAGCATGAGTTTCCATGAACTTTACTGCTTACGCCTCCCAACACTCCAACACCAGGACAAAATACCACAGAACCATTTAAGTTGGAGAAAACCTTTAAGATCAAGTCCAATCACCTACCTAACTACCAAGTCTATCGCCAAACCACATCCCACAGCACCACAGACACATTTCTTAAATGCTTCCAGGGATGCAGACTCCATCACTGTCCTGGGTAGCCTATTCCAATGCACTGCCCCTTTTTGCATGAATAAATTCTCCCTGATATCCAATCCAAACCTCCTCTGGCACAACTTGAGGCTGTTTCCTTGCATTCTATGAGCCATTTTCTCATGTCCTAAACGTAGCTGTTTTTGTGCTGGACACACAGCACAACTGCCACAACTAAGTACTTTCAATCTTTAAACAGCTACACATCAATCACCTTACTATTTTTTTCATGTTCCAGAGAAAAATAAAAGCTTTATGATTTGTTACCTTGTGGACAGAATTCAGCATAGCTGCCTCCAGTTCCAGGAGCCATCTTTCAACTTGACCTCTAGCTTCAGAGGTTGAAATGGTCTGTGTGAGTTTCACAGTCTCTCCTTCACTACTTTTAATGTGTGTAATATCTAACACATCAGTAAACACCACTCTTGCAATTCCTTCAAAACACTTTTTCAGGTGAGGCTGTACTCTAGAAATCAAAACTAGTATTGAACAGCTTCTGACATTGTTTCCTTTCCAATTTAAGAAAAGTAGATCTAACTTTTCACAAAAAATACTTTCAAAGAAATTAAAGGTTGCTTTAAGCTTATTAATAAAATTATTATCCTCAACAGTAGCTCTTTTGTATTACACCTACAAGAAGCCCACTGCACGACTCTGAGAGGACCAGTTAAAGATGTACAATATTACTTATGTCTTCTGTAATATATAATCCAAAAAGACAAATAGGAATCCTCTCTTTAACAGTTAATCCACCTAAAGTGCATAAAGTTTCATTATTTATACTTTTCCACAGAACTATTGTAAATATTAATGAATTTAAGTAAAACAACCCTATTAATTGCACTGCATTAATATTGCTTAGTAATTAGAAGATTGTTTATTATTTTAATTCTTATCCTTGCATGGCCTTGCACTGGACGCTATCAGATCTGAACAATGGGAATGAAACAGCAGTGTATGGATCCTACCTGATGTTCAATTTTCCACTGGGAAAAAAACAACACAGTATGCTAATTTCACTATGAATTATTAATTGGACTCTTGAATTTTCTGAAAAACTGTGTACAGAAAGGTTACTAGTTTAGGAAACAAAGAAGAATTCAATTACTTGCATTAAAAATCATTCTGCATTTGCCTAATACAAAATCCAACCTAGTACATTCTTAACGCCATGGTTGTCAGTGGGGAAAAAAAAACAACTTATAGAGAAACAGAGAAACAATATGGCAAGCCTGTCTGCATGCACAACGAGTCACAAATGCATCTACTAAATACTACGGTACCGGGTAGGATCTTTGGTCTCTGAAAGAATCTCAAGGAGTTCATCATTAGATAAAAAAAAGAATCTTGGGAAAAACAGGCGCTTCTTCTCTAGGTATTCGTTAAGTCCCTTGAGAATTATCTCCAGAAATTCATTGCACTTCCTCAGTTTTTCCAACATCTTGTCTATTGTTACCACTGCCAGCACATGTTTGTCCTGAAAGAGAAATCAAACCCGATAAAAACATTCATGTCTACTCACACAGAAAGCAGTAAAAGTCTTGAGCAAAACTAAACTTTATTTCATACTTTTCTTTACTCTGTAATTGCCAGAATTACAATTTATAATCTTCAGTTTCTGGCTTCTCTAGAAAAACAGGCAGTTGGCATTAAACTACATTTACTATTTCTGAAAATAATTTTCAAAACATAATCAATTCATCAGACTGATTTCTGTCATTTTGTTGAACCAACAGCTATCTACCCCTTAATCATACCCATATAATTAAGAAAAATGAACCAGCAAAAGACTGTGACAGATTTTTAAGTATACTTGTATGGCAACAATACTGACACACACTTTATCTGGTAATCTGTAAAATTCCAATGTAAAAAAAAATGATCTCTTTTCTCATGTAAAATACTTCTATACATAAGATCCTGAGTTGAGATGGCAAAATTGCAAGTAGGCAGCACTGCTGCTGTCTATAGGACTTCAGTACTAACATTAACTAGTGATATGCTCTGAAAAAGGCATTCTCTTATCCTAATGATTACTAACTAAAAACATCTTTAAAGATTTTTGCTAAGATGAAGTTACAGATTCTTTAGAAGAATCACAATTTTTTTTTTTTTATTTTTTACAATAGCACCTGAATAACACATACTAAGATACACTGCTTGATAAACAGTTCCTTATGTTTTTACACTGAGTAGATAACAACACATATCCCTCAGCTACTGCCTTTCAAATTAACACCTTCAGTGAAAAGAACATATGTGCTTAAAGAAATATATATTGCATGAGCTGAAAGTTGCTTCAATTAATTAAAAAAAATGCATAAAAGTAGAAGGTTTTGCAAATGACTTGAAGATTATCAAGCTAAAAAGCAAGTCTGAAAGAAATACAGTTGTCTGAACATCAAACTCTGGCATTTAATACATAGCTTGTGACCTATCAATTTCCAGCCTAATTTCCATTAACATTTTAAGCCACTCACCAAGTATGAAATTTTTGCAGCAAAATGAGAGACATTTCCAAGTAGGAAATCCAGATGTGCAGATTTATGACAGTGGAAGTCAGACCAAACAAATGTTTCTACTTAGAACCTGTTGTGTGTGTTGTGGGTTCACGTATGAATGAATTTATTCCAGCATTGCACTGTTCAGGCCCATACTGGTTTATATTACCTGACTCGCTGACCATTCAACTGATTCAAGCTTACTCTTGTTGCAATGCATAAAGTTCTACAACATCACGGGAAGGGAAGGCGAAGTGATTAGTCTGGGAACACACTTCAATAGCTTTTCCCTTACCACCTGCATTTCCCTGGAATTTGATTGAGGCCACAGAAGAGAAGGAAACAGAGTAACTAGAAATCTTAGGCTCTGTCCAGTGAGTTTGTACCTGTAAGAGTACTATATACTACACATGACCAGGGGTAAAGGGGAAAAAAAATGTAAGTACACAATGAACTAAACAACGAGAAACACCAAAGAAATCAGTAGGGACTATTTCAGGCTAATCAATCTGTGAAGGACATGTAAGAACAACTGGCTGTAGAATAATGCAGCAGTAAGA